CACTTGCTGTTCGAGCAGTCACATTTCCCGGGCATTGCTCCTGGCCAGGCACTGTCACAGCTGCCAGAAACATGGCAGCAGACACCACTGCAGCCCTGTTTCCATGGAGCTTTGATTCTGTGGGAGGAGATTTCCAGTAGGCAAATGTGCAAGGGGACTGCCCGGGACTATGAGTGCCCGGAGGGGAATCAAGCTGGGAGGGGTCGGAAGGATGGGCAGGATGGGCGCAGGGGTTATTGGGGATTGAAGCAGGGCGGGGCCCAGAGAGATGACCCATTGAGGGAGGCCTCTGGGCACTGAGTCCCCAAGGCAAGAGGGTGTTGCCATCAGCTACTGGGACCTTTTTTAAAAGGTGATGAGGAATTAGTATCTTTGTAGACCAGGCAGACGCTTTATCTGTCCACTTTGGAAGCATCTGAACCTGGTCACCTTTGCAGTACATATCATTATATTGTCATCATTTGTGTCTATTGCTTCTTGCCCCTCCCCCTACATAAAATCCGTGGAGGAGGGGACTCCAGGGTGCTTGTAGATCTTTGCATACCAGCTCCAGAGCCAGTCATGGTAGTAACTAAACAAGATGCTTGTCTTTAATTAGTCTTCCCAGGGGGCAGGCCTGGTTGCTGAGCCCATCCACAGGTAAGGAAACCGGTGCTCAGAAAAGCTGAGGGACTTGCCCAAGGTCACACAGCCAGGAATTTACCCGAGATTGCAGACTTCCAAGCCACGTGGAAGGACCCCATGTTGTTCTTAAGGAAGTGTATTCTACTTTAACTTTTTTATCTTTTGAAAAACAAGACTGACCTCTTGCTGACATTCCTTGCTTTGAGTAACACCAACATTTGCTTATCTTTGGATCTTTGGACCTTAGCAATTTCAGCAGGAGGGCTTTCCACACTGCGGACTGGGGGAAGCTTCTAGGAAGCCACCTACTATGACTTACTGGGGGTTGACTGTCGGTGTCCCTCAGCTTGCAGGGCTGGGCGGAGGTCACTGGGGGCTTGGTTGTCCTGAGAATCAGGACTGAAAACCGATGCTCAGATTGGTTTCTGGAGAGAGTCCTAACCCGTGCAGCCACCTGCACCCCGTGTTGTGGCTCCGGGTGAGAGACTAAACTTTGTCCTATTGCCAGGGCAGGTGGCACATCAGCTGGGGACCAGGCACCAGTTTGGGAATCAGACACGCTTGTTGGAACCCCTCAGTTCTGCGTGGCCCTGGCTGTGTGATCCCAAGCAAGTTATTTAACTTCCCAAGCCTCCGTTTACCTTTTTATCCAACGGGGATCCTATTTACCCACTTGGGAGCTATTGGAGATTGGACAGGAGTCTGATTAGCATCCTTGGCAACCAGAGGGCCTGATACTGAGGGAGGAGGTGGAGTCCCCGTTGATCCAGAGTCCAGAGAACTTAACGGTGTGTGTCAAGCCTATGATGTCTGGATGTCAACTTTTGAAGTTTAAGATCCTGGGATTTGACCCACCAGGTGACTCTGAGGACTGCTGCTGACTTAGCCCCTGAGGCATCAGTCGCTCTCCAAGGCGCTCCTGGGGCGTGTCCAGTTGAGTTGACGGGTCGATTTCCCAGTCATCCTGGAGGAGAGCCCCAGTGTGACCGGCCCAAGGCAAACAGCACTCAGGGCCCGCCATGCGGAAAGGCAGGGGAGCCCTGTGGACGGGTTTCACCCTGCAGATAAGGGCGCCCAGCGCATCATTAAAGCCACCAAGGTCGCCTCGGGAATCCTGTTTGCCTTGAGTCACTCAGGGCTGTAAACACTCAGGAGAGGAGCGGCAGGCCGGGGTAGGCTGGTGCGGGGGTTTGCACACGCGTGTGTAGTTATTTTAATGGATTCACTCTCTCTAAATGCGCCAGCTGCCGCGTGTGCCAGATGAGCACCTGCCAGGGAGGGGAGCAGTCAGGATCGCCTCCAGTTCCCAAGGGCACCCCGCTCTGCACCCCATGTGCCGGCCTCCGCGAAGGGGGCGACCTCACGCTTTCTCTGGTCTGCTGCTTGGTCGCCTTCCAGAGAGGCCAGCCCGAGGACGCAGCTTGTGGCGACTCCTCGAAGCTCCTGCCCAATGGTGCCAGCCCGTCAGGAGCTGCAGCAGCCCCAAATTTGGAAGAAATTCCCTGCCCGAGGGGTGTGACAGGTAGGCGAGTCCTGCCTGATGTCCCGGCCCTGATCTGGGGACGCTGCGCCCGACTGAGGAGTCAGTAGCTGGTGGGTGTGGTGTGGCCATCGTGTTGTTCTACCTGCCGGGTTTTGGGGACCGTATCAGGAGCACCCAGCACCTGGCACCTGGCAGCTGATCCACAGGTGCTTGGCCTTGGTTGGTGCCTGGGTTTGGCAGGCGGCGCAGGCTCCCCGCTGGCTTGGGCTGTGAGTCTGTGGCAGGCAGCTGAGTGTGTTCAGCCCCTTGTATGGAAGCTTCAGGAAGTTTTCCCTGGGGGCTTGGAGAGAAGCGAAAACAGGGCTGCAGCAGGCTCCTAGGCCTGCCCCGCCCCTTGCTGGGCGGCCTCACCTGTGGGCCCTGAGCTGTGAAGTCCTGTGTGCCCAGGCAGGAAAGAGTGTGTTAAGGATGAAGAGTCATTTACTGAGGGCGTTTGGGGGCCAGAGAGCACTGGGCGGCGCGGGTTTGCATGGACTCCGCGTTCCCGTGAGAGGACTGGCATCTGCCCCACCTTGCAGAGGAACCCACCAAAGATGTTAGGCAGGAAGCAGGAAGTAGTACATGTGGCTGTTCCAGGCTGCCTTCCACGGGACACTCTTCCCTGTGGTTTCCTCAGTAGCTGATGATTCCCTGGGGGTGCGGCAGGGCCCAGAGCAGAGGCTGAGACCCTGCAGTCATGGGTTTTATGTGTGTGTGTGTGTGTGTGTGTGTGTGTGTGTGTGTGAGAGAGAGAGAGAGAGAGATCTTCCAGTCCTCCGGGGGTGGGTGGCAGTGAGCACCGCTGGGGAGCTATTCCCCGATTCTGTGCCTCCAAGGGGCTCCATCTCTGCCCCCTGCCCAGCCAGAATCCACGCTTGCCCAAGTGGGAGGCCCCTCCTGGTGTCCCCATCCCCTGACCACGTGGGCACCTGAGACGCTGATCTCTGAGTCAGAAACCTCAGCAGGGATGGGGCCCGCCGTCCAGGAACGAGCAGGAGACGCAGGCCGAGTTTCCACAGTGAGGGGCCAGGGCCACCGCAGGGAACGCAGCCCACCCAGGCCCCTGCAGGGAACGCACCCCACCCCTCGATGCCAGGTGGGGTGGGTGGCCTCCAGGGTCATGTTGAAAACTGGCAATAGGACACCAGTGTCACAGCAGTGCTGGAAGGTGTCCCTCTTCACCCTCGTCCCCTGCCCCATCTCCCATTCAGGGGGTCTCAGCCTTTGGGGATCACCGTCTGGGGCGCTCATGCAGATTCGCAGCACCCCCCAGAGCCTGTTTCTCTATCAGGTGCCTTGGGTGGATTCCAGACGGGGTCCCACAGACCCGACTTTGAGAAGCTCTGCCCTTTTGGGACCAGGTTGGTTCCAGAGGCCAGGCGTCCTGGTCCCTCGGTACCCTGATATAAACATTAGCAGTGTCCTCTTCACTCCCACGGTGTCTGAAGTGGACCAGGGGAGCTGGACACCCTAGCTAAATGTTATTTTGTTTTTCTGCTCCACCCCTTGCCCGGGCACGTGTTCTCAGAATCCAGTGGAAAGAGGCTGGGCCTTCTCTGTCGTGTGAGCTCCCAAGACTGTCCTGTGGCGAGGGGCAGGATGCCCCCATGTCCCCGGCCCCTGGTCCCCGACTGCCTGGCCTTCTCCGCCAGTGGCCAGCGCTCCTTGCTGCCCGTTGAGCCGGCCCAGGCCCCAGTGCTGAGGAGACAGGGGAGGCCAAACTCCTCCTGTGACTCATCCAGGTCTTAATCTTGGTCCCCAGAGCCACCGGTGGAGCCTGTTCTTCCAGCCTCTCCAGCCCGGCCCGCCCGCCCGCCCGCCCCACCCCCTGGCTCCCTTTGGTGGTTGGCCCTGAAGCTTCGCAGGGGCAGATGTATTCGGTGGCTTCCTCTTGGCATCTCCATGGTGCCAGCCGTGGGGGAGGGCAGCTGTGGGGGAGGGGTGCTGTTCCTTTATGTCCTTCGGGCCAGAGGCCAAGGAGCTTGGAGGGAGGATGGGGAGACCCTGCCTGTGGCCCTCCCCTGCACGCTGAGCCCTGAGATTCCTGGGCTCAAGCGCAAGGCTGCCGCGATGCTTGGAACCACGCACCTTTTTCTTTTCTTTAAGGGGGGGTGACTAGGGCTTTTATCAGCTTGTCCCCAGTGTATTTGTGACTGTTTACCCTGAGGACGTCCCCGGGATCTGCCTTGAGCAGGACAGCTGGTGCTGGCACGGTGCAGGAGGAGGAGAGGCCCCTGTCTGCAGCAGCCTGGGCTTGGTGGGAGGCAGGGGATCTCTAGCCCTGGAGCCCTGGGCAGGGACTGGGTATGTCCTGGGGCTCAGTGAGGCTGATTCCTACATCCCACCCAACCAGAGCTTCCCCACCCTGGGCTCCAGATGCCACCTCCATCCCTCCCTTCAGATGAGGACTGGGACGTGGGACCCCTCCTCTCTGTGGCTCTGTGGCCACCTACACGCCCTGGCTTCCCCTGCTCCTGTCCATCTCGGCACCTGGACCAGCGGAGGTCCTTAGCCTCCCGCAGCCCGGGGGCTTGTCTTTCAAGCACCAGCTCCTGTCCTTCCTGGTCCCCTCGGAGACCTTCTGCCTGTACAAGTAGCTGACCTGTCCCCAGTGTCCCCTGCCAAGCTGCCTTCTCCCACCCGGGTGCCACGCTTCTTTGTGTGTCGGTAGAAATGTCTTCCCTCTCTCCTGTGCCCTGAGAATGACCCAGGAGCCTCCCCTTTTGTAGGCGGGGAAGCGGGGCCACAGGCCGTGGGTCTCTCCGTTGGTGCTGTGCAGAGCTTTCTGCAGAGACGGAAATGACCTGTGCCTGCCCCGTCCGCAGCCGCAGCCACTGGACGTAGACACAACTGAAACAGAATTTTAAATTTTCTTTAATTGTAAAAGGCCCCAAGTGGCTGGGATTCTTCATGTCAGAGGTGGCCTTGAATCAGGACTTGAATCAGCCAAAAAATAGTTCTATAGCTCCTCCCCGTTGGTAAGAGCGAGATGTTTGTTTTGCCATCGCGGCCCCTGAGGCTTCCATGCATGGCCCCTGGGCCACCTGCGCCTGAATCACTCAGGAGCTTGTTTCTAGAATGTTTCCTGGCCCCATAGACTGGGCACTCGGGAGGCTCTGGGGACAGCCCTGAGCACCTGCATTCCAGACAGGTCTCCAGCACCGCCCGCGGCCTGCCTGGGCCTTCAGGCCCCTGTCCCCACAGCCAGAGCAGCCTGGCCAGTGGGGGTCCAGATGTGCTGCCAGGGAACCAGCCACTCAGTGGCCCCTGAGAACTTGTCACAGATGCAAATTCTCTGCAGAGAACTGGGGTCTCTGGGCCGGGCCAGGCTGGGGCCCAAGGTGAAGCCGAGTTTGCGGCCGGATCATGGCTCCTTGGCCCTTCCACGGGACTGTCCCCCCGCCCCCTCTCTCTCAGGTCCTCCTGCCTGCCAGGCAGACGCTCTGCCACCGAGCCCCTCCCAGCCCCACTTCCCCGATCTCCCTGCGCCCCCGTCTTTTCCCTGCTCAGCTGCCAAGAGCCGGTTGCCCAGGGCCTTCCAGGGTGGGAGGAGCCGCCTGCCCCTCACAGGGCACCTTCTCCAATCCCAGCCTCACCCCAGGGGTGGCCGTCCTGGTGATGGTGGGGGGCAGCAGAGACCCCGCCATCCTCCAGCTGGTGGCCCCCTGTTCCCCAGTGACAGAGAGCAGAGGGCCAGATGCTCCCCGTCCCTGGGCCTCCGAGTCCTCCCGTGAGGACCAGGCCTCTGCTGTCCTCTGGGTGCCGCCAGCCCTGGAGGACGACAGTGCTCAGCCTGTGGTGCCCCTCCCGGGCATCCACGTGTGTGTGGACAGGCGGAGGCCGAGGGTGAGCTCAGCCTGGCCTTGCTGCTCACCTGCGTGGGACCTCCGTGCGGGTGGCTGCCTCTGGCCTCTCCCCTGCTGGGTGAGTGCGCCATGCCGGCCGGCGCTGCTCACGGTGGCTGCTGGCGGTGGCTGGGCACAGTCTGAGGCACCTTAGAAACCTGGTTGGTGATTGATGATCTTGTTCCCTGCAGACCTGGCCGGGGGGACCTGCGGGTACTTAGGGTGACCAGCTCGTCCTGTTGCGCCCAAGGCCTGCCCGGTTTTAGCACTGAGAGCCCCACGTCATGGAAAACCCCTCTGTCCTGGGCCAGCTGGGATGGTTGGTCACCCAGTGACCCGGGGCCTACCCCCGTGCGAGCCCCGTCTGGCTGCTCTGATCCTGTGGATGGGGTCCCTGTCCCACGGGGTGACGCAGCCCTACCCGGCCCTTCCCTGCCACCTGCCCCCTCAGTTCTGTTGATCTCCCCCCGCGGTCAGGTCCAGCTGGCTCGTGGCCACAGGTGTGCTCGTCACCCCCAGCCCAGACCCCCCTCGGTGTCCCATCTTAGAGCCCACATGCCCGCTGGTTCACTTGGTCACTCACCAGTGGACGGAGCCGGCGGGTGGGACAGCCCCCCTCACAGCACTCACATTTTTTCTGTCTAAAACTCGTAACTTGAACCAGGAAAATGTCCTTCCTCGGCCCCTCCCAGGCCCATCGAGGCCCTGTTCATCCCCGTGGTAGGCGTCCAGTGCCAGCTCTGTATTCAGTTGGGTTCCAGGAATGACACTTGACGGTCCCCTCCTGCCGCCTGGAGGAGCCGGGCTCTCTGCGGGGTCCCCCAAGCCAGTCTGCCCCTCCTGACCTCTCTCATCTCGGCACCTCCACCAAGTGCCCACCTTCCCCATCCCAACCCTGCCCTCCACCCGGAGGACGGTGTAGTGGAGAGTCCTGGGTGTGACGGTGACTCCTGCAGAGAGTGCTCCTGCCCTCGCTGCATTGTGGGATGTGGGGGACAGCCATGGTGTGGACCTCGCTGGTGGGATGCTCTGCAGGTCCTGAGCACCGTGGGGGTCAGTTCCCACCGAGGACCCCACAGAGCCGGCCACTCCACTTCCCTTCTCCGCCTTTTCCCTGGTTGTTCATTCTTTCCTGTCCCCCCTCCTCTGTCTGCAGGGACCAGCTGAGCAGTCACCACCTCTCAGGTTCCTTCCAAAGTCCACACCTGGCCCCAGGGGTTCACGGGAGGACCCGTCCTGCTGGGCACTGGGCTGGGCTGGGTTGACCTGAACTCTCCCTACCCTGTGTGCGCTCGCTCGGTGGCCTGGGTCCATCCCTGCAGTGGAGGGCCCCTGCCAACCTCCTGGCCTTCCCCCCGGCTGGTGGCAGCTGGTGCTCTGGACACCCCAGGCGACCTCAAGTTCCTCTCCACCTTCCCCTGAGGAGTCCGCTCGTCCTGCCCTGGGGCTGGGGCGTCTCTAGAAAGTGCTGGTTGGTCCCTTAGAGGCAGGCGGGGTACTTGGCATACACAGCTGTCCCCTGCTAGTGACCATGGGGCAAGGAAGACAGGCTGACTCGTGTGTCCAGGGCCGTGGTCCTCCTGAGCTGGAATGGCCTCAGGGCCTGGAAGCTCCCTCCTCCCGGCGGCCTCTGCGCATCTGGGTTGGTTGTAAGCCTTTACTCACCTTTGTACTGAGTCCAAAGTCCACCTCACGGTGCTGTCCACCCTGTGGCCCACGTCCTTTGAATATTTTGCATGCTTGATCAGTGTCCGTACCTGGTGACCCCTCTGAAGTCGGAGGACGGCCTCTGAGGCACGGGACCACCCTGGACCACCCTCCTTTCTCGACCCTCTTTCCTCCCAGCCAGGCACAGTGGATGCGGGGAGGGCAGAGATGGGACGTCCCTCCTCGGTGCCGTGGCCCCCCCATCTCCGGCCCCACGCCTACCTGGAGCCCTCTGTGAGGGTGGGAAGAGCTGCAGAAGCCACGCTGCTTTTGCACGTCCAGCAGAGTGTCCCCCAATGTGCTGGGCGCCAGCCCTCCTGACGTTGGTAAGAGCTGAGCAGGGCCTGAGGAGCCCAAGAGCCCCCGCGGGCAGGCAGGGGAGAGGCAGGTAGCCAGGACCTTGGAGGGCCCCTCGGGTTAGCCTGGGCCTGGGCCGGGCCAGGGGTGTGGACCGAGGTGCCACCTTTTCCTCAGCCGCCTGCCCCCTCCCCCACCCCAACCCTTGCTGATGGGTCTTAGGCCCAAAGGCTCCTCATGACCACTGACAGGTTCCCATGCACGTCCAGGGTCCATGAGTAGTTCCGCAGCCAGCTGAACAGTCCTGGCCTCTGGAGAAGGTGGAGAGAGGACACTCCCCAAATGCCACCCGGCTGGCTCCACCCGCACTCCTGCCACACTAGCTGCTGCCCGCGTGCACGTGGTGTGGTGACTCAGGAGACCCCCAGCTTCCTCTGGAGAGCGTGGCGGGGAGAATTCCTGGGCCCGGGGCCCTCCTGAGAAGGTGTTGGCTGGACACCCGCCTGGGCTTTGCTGTGACCGCTGGCCGTCCAGGAAGCACCTGGCCTGTGGGGCTGGGGGGTGACCAGCGTGTGCCCTGGTTTGCTTTGCAGTGTCGGCGTCATGGACTGTCCCATCACAGGAGGTAGTGACCTCTCAGCCTGGTCAGCGATCGGCCTCCTGTTCCAGGGGGACAGGGCAGCAAGCCCACAAGACGCAGGGCCTCCTCCTGCCCCAGGTGGTTGCAGAGCAAACCCCAGCCCCTGACCGGGTGTCTCTTCAGTTGCCTGAGTCCCAAGGGAGCCGCGTGTCAGCGTCTGCAGCTGAGTGTGGGGAGTGGATGTTGTTGTGCTTTGCTTGACGTTCTCCGCCCCCACCAGTCCTGTGTGCCAGGGACACATGTCAGTCTTCTTCCCGAGGGTGCACAGGGAAGTTGGTGGCCTGGGCGAGCCCAGGGGCCAGGTCTGGATGGTCAGCAGGAGGGAGCAAGGCAGGAGAAGACCCTGGGTGACAGACAGGCCTCGGCCCACCGCACACCTCGCAGCCAGGGTTCCTGCCCTAGCTTCCAGTCTCCCCTTTGTCCAGGCTGACACCCAGATTGTGCAGTGTCCAAACCCAGAACCTCCAGCGGTGCCATTTGTCCCAGAGGCACAGGAGTGGGCTCCTAAGAAACAGCAGAGGAGCCGGAGCCCGGGGGCAACGCTTGACCTTTCACCCGTGGGCTTATGCCGCGCAGTGGGCACTTCGTGGGCTTACAGCGTGGGTGGGAACTGCCCTGGGCACTAGGGAACATAGTCCCCGGCTCATGCCAGGGACACTCCAGAAAGGCCTGGGAGGGTGCGCTGGTCAGGGTCCACGTGGCCTCTTTGTCTGCTGCCTGCTCTGGGGACCGGTGCCGGGCAGGCCTCCTGTTCTGCTGAAGTGGGCGTGAGCGTGGGGGAGGGGACCGTGGGGCTCTTTCCATTTACATTTTTCAAATAGTTTCCTCTGTTCTCCAAGAGGCCTGTGCACTGGGAGGCGGCATTTGACCTTTGGGTTGTTGGGGACCCAGCCAGATGGGGGTGTTGATGGCCGCCAGCAGCCGCTCCAGACAGGAATGGAAGTCACATTCCTACCTGCTTCAACCTCTGGCCTGGAGAGGACAGGAGGAGTGGCAGGGTGGGACCGCTGTGCCAGCCCTTGGTCAGAGCTGCGTGCCCCCTCCGCCCCAGCCCTGGCCGCTGGTGCCCCGCTCTGAAGACCTCCCAGTAAAGCATGTTCGACTTGAGAGTTTGGTACAGAAGGTTCCAGACGTCCCCGGGGACCCAGGAACAGCACTGCCCAGCCGGAGCTGGTCCTGAAACCAGGGAGGAGCCCAGGAAAAGCCGTGGACCTGGACCAGGAGGAGCCGGGTGCCGGTTCCGGTTCTTCTGTGCATCCCGTCCTTGCCACAGCCCTGCAGCAGGTGCACGGTCCCCGTTTTGCAGATGAGGACACCCAGGCGCAAGGCAGGGCCTCAAACCAGATGCCTGGCCCTGGGGCTGCCCTTCTCCCGCGGGCCACGTGGCCTGGGGAGCTGCTCACGGCAGGAAGCTGCCCAGGCAGCTCTGTGTGGGGGCTCAGGCCCCCTGGTAGGCGGGAGCGCTGCCCCCCGACCGTGCTCTTCACCCCTCTGCTCCCCCTTGCCCCACGTTTCCCCGTGTCCTGATCACACCGTTGGTTCCGAGGCCACCCTGCCACAGCCCCGCAGGAGAAACGAAGGTGTTTTTCTTATTTTGAGTCCTGAAGGCCAGGGCTTCATGGGAGGAGGGACACAGCGGTCCCTTGCTGGTCTCCCACTTGGAAGTTCTGGAATCTTGACTGCAGGGGCCTCTGGAGACAGACGGGACAGGGGTCTCCCTGGCCCTCTGAACAGAGTGGCCCTAGGAGAATGGGAGTGGACAGAGGAGCCCGGAGAGGCTGATGTGCCCTGAAGTCCGCATGGTGGGTGGGCCCGGCCTCTGGGGACGGGACTGAGTCCCCGCTGGACCCCAGGCTCCCTGGGCCCCTCGCAGAGTCACTGGGGGAGCCTGTGTGCCACCCCTCCGCCCCAGGCAGGACAGGACAGTGGCCTCTTGCTCGCCTTGCTGGCTGCCCTGCCTCCTGGGCATCATGTGTGCTAGGAAGGACCTGGGGTTGGGGTGGCCCCATAGCACATCACAGAACAGCCTCCTGGTCAGCCATGTTGCCAGGGCCCAGGCTACTGGCCACCCAGCCACCCAGCTGGGCACAGCCCAGGTCCCCAGGTGTCACTCCTGCACCTTGATTCCCGCATTGGTCAGCAGGGAGGGTACCCCGGCCCCTGCAGTGGGGGGTCTGTGCCCAGCACCGCCCAGGCCTTGCCCCCGGGGTTTCCTGCACGCCAGGCCCCACCCCCACCCCCGTGACCCTGTCCCCTCTTTCTGAGCCCAAGGTGATTTTTCAGTTAACTGGACTGGCTGGAACCCGGACCCCCTGGAGTGTGGGAACCGTCCCAGGCCAGGGGCCTCCCTCCCCAACTCCTGGGACCTTGGCTTTGGGGGAGGGTCTGGCTTCACATCAGGACACCAGGATGTGACCCCGCGCCCTTCTGAAAAACCCCAGATGGTGCCTTCGGGAGGCCCGGGAGGCCCAGGAGGCCTGAGGCCCTGCACAGCCTCTCCACGCCCACTCTGGCCCCGGGAGCAGGAACCTGCTCGTCGGTGACTTTGTGCTCGTTGGTGACTTTATTGCTAAGTCATCTGAGAGGCGGCGGCGGTTTTCCTGAGGGGAGCATTTGAAGTGTCAGAGCGGGTTTTAAGTCATCCTGGGGCAGCGGCTCAGCTGGGCTCCGGAGGAGGTAGGGGTTACGTGGATTAGTGGGGACCCCGCTGCGCCCACAGGCTCGCGGATGCCCGCGGTCCACAGGGGCTTGGGCGGCTCTGGCCTGACGTCCTGGGCCGCAGACTCTCGATGGCATCAGCAGCTGGTCACCTTCTTTTGACACCAGGCCAATTCTGTTTTGGGGCTTCTAATCTGTCCCTCGTGCAATGTCACGGTAGCCCGGGGCGGTGGCCACAGCTGTTATCTCCATTCTCTGCCCAAGGACGAGGACGTGACCTGCCAGGGTCAGATGGCCACTGAAGGACAGCGCCAGGATTTGGACTATGTCGTTGGTTCCAGAAGCACCGCTCGCACCCGGCACTGTGCAGGGACACAGGAACGTGCAGCAGCGGGAGCCATTGTCACCCATTCCAGTCCACTGTCACAGGTCGGAGTGGACGGTGGGTCCTACAGCTCCGGCCTGTGTGCACGGCCCTGTTGGCCAAGGCGCTGAGAACCTGGATCTGCTGGCCACAGGGGTCAGCAGGCGTGGGGACTCCAGCCCTGCGGCCCGCGTGTGATGGCGGGGTTGGCCCCGGACACCCGCTTCTCTGGGTGGCTGTTCACACCTGTGGGACCTTCGGCCTGACTCACCCGGGTTGGCCCTGAGACCGACTTGGAGTTCTGAGCCTGATCCTTGGCACTGACCCTTCCGGCCCCTGGAACCCGTGGCCCAGCTCAAGGGCGAGAGACCACAGGCCGCCTCCTGGGCCCAGTGTCCCTGGGAACTGTGGTGTCCCCTGGGAGCTGGGGTGGGTGCAGAAGGGGATAGACCTGGGGTGTTGTGCTGCTGGCTCAGACTTGGGCGGGCAGGCAGACGTCCCTGCCGTCATGGGCCTTGCTCAGGTGGCTCTCTGGTCTGGTGAGTCCCCGCTCAGTGCATTGAAGGGCTTGTCATCGACACTGGGGGGCTGGTCCTTGGCCGGCTTCACCGTCTCCTCTTTGTGGTTTGGTGATATATACGTCTTTTCTTGGAGGGTGGAGCAGTGTCACCAGAGCCACTGTGACGCCTCCCATCCAGCGCTGGCCTTGTGTGTGTGTGGGGGGGTCATGGCCAGATCCAAGAAGAGGGAACTGAGTCATTTTATTATCAGAAGCTCAAAGAGGCCCAGCTCGGCCCCTGGCCACCGTCACACCATCCTGGCATCCAGTTGGGGAAGACGTCCAGCCTGGTCTTGAGGCCTGGGGGCCTGGTCCCTGAGTTGGGATCCGGCTGCCCTCGATAGGCTCTGTGAGTGGGGCTGTGGGGGGACAACAAGGGCAGGAAGAAGCTGGACTTTAAACACAGGAGGCGGGAGGTGCTCGCTGTGGGGGTAGCTTCCATTGTCCACCTTTTCTCCTCCCGTTTCTGAGGGAAGGAGTGGGAGCCCGTGGTTCTCAGCGCCCAGCAGGTAGCCTTCAGGTCTGTGGGGATCCTGGGTGCCCAGAAAACTGTCCCCAATGGAAGCAGTTCGTCAGGGCTCTTTTTCAGTTGCCAGGGACAGAAAATCCATCTTCAACTGGCTGAAACACAGAGAGGACTCATGTGAGTGAAAAGTGCAGGGATAGATTCTGGCTTCAGGTGCGGTGTGATCCAGGACTCGGGTGTATCTGGAACCTGGCTTTGTCTCGTTGGCGCTCCCCTCACAGTACCAAGAGGGCTGCCTACCCACAGCTCCAGGCTCAGTCCTGTAAGCTTGAGGTCGTCAGTGAAGATCACCCGGATCCTAGTCTGGGATCAGCTCTGTCTGGACTGGCTGAGGTCACTGCCCACTTCTGAACGAGTCACCGAGGCCAGGGTGATTCAGAGCTCTGATTGGTCAGAATGGGTCAGATCTTTGTCCCTGAAGTACAGGTGCTTTGGGGTGTTGCCAAAGGAAAAGGAAGGTGCTGTGTCCAAAAGAGGATCCTAAATGCCACTGGCAGGTGGGTGTGCATGGTGCCCGGCCCCAGGGGCAAGAGCAGAAACGTTGGAAAGAGAAGGGAGGGAGGCCGGCCTCTCGGAGGAAACGCTGCATCGTGGCTCAGCTGGACAGTAGCCAGCCCTGCCCTGCACATGCCCCTGCCCAGTGAGCAGAGAGAAGCTGGCCCTGGCAGCACCAGGGAGCCTGGGCCCGGGCCCTGGGGGAGCCGTCAGGGCCCTCGCTGCCCATCGGGAGCTCAGGGGCCAGCTGCCCCGGGGCAGTCCAGTGCCGGCCTCTCCCACGCAGCGAGGCTGTCTCGGAGTTCACGCGCTTCTGGAGCTGGAGTCACCTGCGGAGGGGTCTCTGCAGGCTCCGCTGCGGAGGTGATACCCAGGTGTCCAGGAGACACCAGGTGACCCCGTTCTACGGCCCGATCCTCAGGTCCAGTGACTGTGCTGGGGCCGTGGTTCCTCCACTTCCCGCCTGCTGAGGGGTGGCCCCTCTGCCTTCTGGACGTCTGGTGGTGACCTTGGCCCCTGGCACACGGTTGGTGCCCATCGTGCTTGCGGGGCGGGGAGGTGAGGGAAGGAGGCGCCCCCTGCGCTGGGGGATCCGATTCCCGGGGTGTGGCGGCTGCGGGCGAGGCTCCCCGGGAGTGTGTGGCCCCTGGGGAGCGAGCCAGGAGGTGGCCTGGCAGAGGTGATCTGGCCACGCCGTGTGCTCCAGGCCAGCACCTGCAGGGGAGGTGGGCCAGACGCACCGAGGGAGAACAGTGGGAGATAGGGGGAAGACGCGGGCAGCACCGTGGGGCGGCCATGGCCCGGCCCAGCCTGCGTGGTGAGAATGACCGGGCAGCTCCCCAGGCTGGGCACCTCGGGGGTCCTGCTGGGGGTGGGTGGGTGGGTGTTTGAGGGTGCGTTCCTGCGGGGGGATTGCTTATTGCTTCCTGTCCCCCCAGGGCTGTGAGGGTTGGGATCAGGTGACAAAGGCCCCGAGAGCAGGGACCCCTGCAGACGGTCCAGCTCCCGTCTGCTGCTGCCCGCCCGTTACTGGCCCCGTGGACGTGTCTGCACAGGCTGGGTCTGGGGGCCCAGGAGAGGCAGCCTGGTGACTGGGGCCCGGGGAGTCCACGGAGACGGCGTGTCCAGCTCCTCGTACCTGGGATCAGGTGGAAGGATTGTGGACGGGGCCAGGAATGGCCGGCAGAGGGAGGCAGGGCGAAGGCTGGGCTGGCCCCTGCCGAGGCCCAGGGTGGTCGAGGAAGTGTGCCCTTGGCTGGCTTCTCCCAGGCCGCAGTCCCCAGCTTGGTCACCACACACGGGCCACCTGCTGAGTTCAGGAGCCTTGCTGGGCTGCCCCCGGGCAGCTGTGGCCCTTCATAGAGCTCGGAGGCCCCTCGGGCACTGATCTGCAGCAGGGGCCTGGACCCCAGCCCCACTCAGGTGTCAGGAATAAGTGGCGTCTCTTCAGGGGACTCGGAGGGCGGCCTGCCCAGCCGAAGGTCCTGAGGAGGAGGAGCACAGGCTCCCCGTCTTGGGCCTGCAGTCCACAGCTGTCCCCAGGAGGGTGTCGCCTGGTGGCTCCAAGCAGGGGCTCCGCGTCAGGACCCTGGCTGCACGCGCACGCTGGGCCTGGCTTCCCCGCAAGGAGGGGCCGGCCTGGGCTCTTGACCTCCAGCCGGCCCAGCACGTCCGGGGCCCAGAGGTACAGCTGCCCCTGGGCGAAGGTGACCGCCACTCCAGGGATAGGGAGTGTCCCATGCAGCTGAGACACCCCTCTTTCCCACCAAGTGCAGAACCCAGCAGAGGGGGTGCCCTGGTCCTTCACTGAGGCCTCAGCCCTGCCCTGGGCAGTGGCCTCTGCCCAGCCGCCCTCTCTGGGTCCATGCCTGTCGGTTGGTCCTGCTGCTGTCTAGCCTCAGGGTCTTGCTTTCTCTCGAGGGCATCTTCTTCCGCACTCTGGAATGAGCACCATCACCGTGTACTGAGACCGGCACTCAGGTGGCACTTGTCCCCAGCCCGGTAATCAGAAGGGCCATGAGCGCAGCACCCATGACGCCCGGGCACTGCTGACCCAGTCGGTGGAGGGGTGGCTCCAGGCCCAGCTGTGGTCTCTGACTGGGCCTCAGGCGGGAGCCCCCACACTGTGGGTCCCTGTGAGGAGCCCGTGAGACAGGGGCTCAGAGGGGCAGCCGCCGCCGTCTCTGTGAGACTGGGTGGCAGCAGGACAGACCGGGTCATCGGGGGTGACCCCGCCCTTGGCCATGGGGTGTGTGGGACGGCCTGGGGCATTCAGTTCTTCCCCACAGGTGTGTGTGGCTCGGGTGACCCCCTGCGACTTCCGAGGTCCGTCCACCACGCTGCCCAGGTGGGCGCTGGGCCCGGGTGCCTTTCCGTGGGACCTGCTGGGAGCGGGGGCTGCTGGGCTCTGCACCTGGATCTCTTGGGGGCTGGGGCATGAAAATGCGCTTTTAATGGGAAACGGGACGCCTTGCGGCTGTGGCCCCCTCGTTCCCCTGAGGCGGGATTTACATGCAGCAGGACATCTGCCCTGTGGTCTGAGGCCGGGGAGCAGGACGTCCCCGTGGTGGCCGCTGGGGAGCAGGACGTCCCCGTGGTGGCCGCTGGGGACAGTCGCTCAGCCTGCACTTGCCGTTCGCACCGTGGTCTGGCCCCACCCGAGCCCCCGGCTCTTCTTCCCCCTCCCTCCCCAGTCGGGGTGGCCTTAGAGCCCGCCTCGGACACTCATGTCTGTCTGTCCTATGGTCCCCCTGGTGGCGGGAGGCCAGGGGCTCAGGGCTCCGTGGTCAGCAGGCCACGGCTCCCCCGGGAGACACAGAGACCACCCTAGCTGCAAAGGAGGCTGGGGACTCGCACTTAAACTCATGGCTCATGGAAACTGAAAGAGATGGGCTGCAGAAGGGCAGTCTGTCCAGCCCCTGTTGCCAGCCAGCGTGGGCCCATCCCCCGGTGGCCTTTGGGGAGAGGCACCTGGGGCCTGCAGTGGCAGCCTGTGTGCCGAGGGTGGCCCCAGGGCCGCGCGGTTGGTAACGCGGCCCCCGGGGGCAGGCAGCCGCTCCATCTCCCAGCAACACTCAGCTCCGGCTCCCACAGCTGGAGACCGCTGTGGTGTCCGCCTTCGGGCCTCCTGTCTTCCGCCCCGGTCCCAGGGGTCCGAGGGCAGTGCCCAGCATTGGCAGGAAGGTACACGATGGTCCTCTGCTCTTTATATGCCTGGGCAGAGGCCAGGGTGGTTTCTCTAGGGCCTCCTCCTGAGGCTCCTCCTGCCTCGGGCCACAGCCTCCGTCCTGTGTGGGTCTCCACACCTGGGCTGCCTCCAGTGCCACAGGAATACTCTGTTTCTCTGTGCGAAGGTGATGGCAGTTGTCCCCATGCCATCCGGTGCCTTAGCCACTCGCTGCGCACGTGTACCTGAAATGCAGACAGTGTGACGAGGGGCAGGGTTGTGCACTTCATTTTATTTTAACTAATTTGCACTTAGATAGCCACCTGTGTGGGGACCACCAGGCTAAACAGGACAGCCATAGACAAAGAGCCCAGGGTCTCTACTCTGCCAAGGGGAAAGATGCATACGTAGGACTTGAGATACCTAAAGAGATTCCACTGGTAGGGTCAGGCCCAGAGAGGGATAGTGACTAGCCCAAGGTCACCCAGCAACTAGTAGTCCCTCTGAGACGGAAACCCAGGTTTTCTGACTCAGCTGCTTCGTCGTCTCTGCAGGGTGAGGTTGGCCCGCTTTGTGCAGAAGGGAAGGCAAGTTTTAGGTGTCGTGGTGACACACCGCGCAGGGCGGCAGGCGTGTTGAGGCGCTTCACACGGGTCTCTTGAGTCTTGGTGTCTGCTCTGTGGTGCTGGTAAGGGGGCAGAGTCTCGCGCGTGCTCGGCCAGTGCTCTACCCTGAGCTGCCCCACACCCAGGTCTTGCTTGTTTGTCACCTTCTTTGCACAGGTGAGGCCACCAAGGCTCAGGGACAGGAAGGGTCCAGCCTTGGGAGATGGGGCTTCCATGCCCAGCCGGGGCAGCGCACCCAGAGCTGGGATGAGCCCCAGGCCCTGCCCCCTGCCCAGCTGTTTTCCAGCCTGGTCTCCAGGATTTGCCTCCTGCAGGTGCCTCACCTGCCACCCCCCCCCCGTTCCCGCAGGCCCCGGGTGGTGGGGGCAGGCCGAGGTGGGTTGGGGGCAGGCCGAGGTGTCCTGCCCTCCTGAGCAGTGCTGTACTGAAGTCCCCTCTTGGGATGGCCCTGTTCCTGCGCCTGCGTCCTCCAGGGTGGGTGTGGGCAGGGCTGCTGGGACGCAGTGCAGGGGCCCAGCCACATGGGAACCTCAGATAAACCTGGAGACGGGGTCGGTAGGACGTGCCCCACGCCTGTTTGGGACCCGCTTAGGCCGAGAGCTGCTTATCGTCTTCTGGGGTTCAGCGCCCACTCTGCCCCTGGGGGGGTTGGCTTTACATCTGGGAACCCCCAGTGGGTGGCACCCACGCAGCAGGCGGGGTAGTCGAGCCCCAAAAAATGACACCAGGCCTATGCAATTTGGGGACCCCTGCTCAGGCCTGGAGTTGAGCCAGGTCTCTTGGGACCCACGTCCTGCTCCACAGACACAGGAGGGGACCACGGGAGGCCCCCAGGGTGGTCCGAGGAAGTCGCTTCTGAAGGAGAAAACCAAGAAATAGATCCCTGACTTCCACCTGCGTGGGGACGGGTGCACGTGGACATTCGTTAGCGTCACGTTTTGTGGTGCATAGACTCTTGGTGACGGTCGTGGGACTAGGAACCCTGGAGGGACGGGCAGTTGAGGACGGCTGATGAGAGAAAATTCCAGAGTCTCGGGTACAACCCCAGATGGGGAGCCCCCCGGGGCCGAGGTGGCCATGACCAGGCCTTCTGTGATCTGACCTCCCGCGCTCTCTCTGGTGCCCGTCCTGCGGTTCAGCCTCCCGGCTGCTGGTGGGGCTGTTCTCTGCCCGACCGCCATCTCTTGAGGGTGGACAGCACGTCCTCCTCAGGATGGCCTTGTCCTCCCCGCAGATGAGCCCCCGCCTGGCGTCTTGCGAGCTGGTGTGGCCGCTGCCCTCCGGGGGCTTCTGAGGTGCGGGTGGCTGCAGGTGCTCTCCTGGACCACAGGGGAGCCAAGGCCAGCCTCCAGAGGCCTGGGCACTGCCCACCCTGCACTTGAGCAGCCGGTGCCCCGCAGACGGACCGCTCTCTGGTGCCCGGCTCCTCCCATCTGGGCTCATGGGGGCTCTGGCTGTCCCGCCTGGGGTATGTGCATGGTGTCCCCAGGGCCCTCGCTGGGGTGCGTGTGGCAAGGACGGATGGGCGCTGGGAACCTCTTGGCTGGGTGGAGCCACTGGACAACTGAGCGCCTGGGCGTGTGTGTGCGCGCCCTGGACGCAGCAGAGGAGAAAGGGTGGGACCCAGGACCTACCGCGCCCACGCCACCCCCCGCATCCGTGAGGGTTCCTGAGGTCGTCTAAGGCACTGTGGCAGCTGGTCAGGAGATGGGGAGCCTGCGAGGTCCCCTAGGCTGTGGCCCTGAGGGTGAGACCTGTGGGGGAGGGAAGCCCTGAGGTGGGCAGCCAAGTGCAGGCTACAGAGCAGTGGTGTGGCGGAGGCTGGGGCATGGTGGAGGCCAGGACATGGCAGAGGCTGGGGCATGGCGGAGGCTGGGCCGGCTCCTGGACTGGGCGTTTCAGGGCAGCCGTCAGCTTCAAGGGGAGAGGACTTGGGCTAAGGGGTCTGCGGAGCAGGAAGGTGACAGGAAGCCTCTATTCATCTGGGCAGCTCCACCCAGGGGGGCCTCCAGGTGTTGGAGGTGGAAGAGGTCCGGGTGACGGCAGTGGCCCCTTTCTGAGGCCACGGGGGTGGGGGGCATGCGTCCTGCTCCCCCTCCACCTCAAGACTAGAGGAAGCCCAGGGAGTTGGGCGGGATAAGTACCTTAGACCTGAGTGCCCACAGGCGCTGGTGACCGAGGGTGACATTCAAGAGTGGCACTGCCTCGTCCACATTGAGCACTTCAATGGGAGTGGTCCCGGCAGCTGATAAGGGGTGGGCCCATTGTACTGATGGGGACCTGTACCCAGCTACTCCCCTTCTGTGACCTTTAGGGGTGAGGGTGGCGCCCCAGGCTCCGTGGAGTGTGCCTCCCGGGGTAGCTGCTGTTGCCCGCGGTCATCCTGGTGCCCTGGCCCCTCCCGGTGCCCTCTCTGAGGGGGAGGGGAGGGGAGGGACATGCTGGCCCGCTTGGCTCCTCTGCTCATTTCAGATGCTCCTCAAGGCCACTGGGTGCCACACGCTGCCCAGGCACAGGGGACCACCGTGGCCAGGACGCGTGGGCCTTGTTATTTGCTGATGAAGTCACATCCCCGGGCGGCTGCGGCGAGGGCTGAGCTCTGGAGAAGGGCAGGGGGTGTGCGGGGCCGGCACTGAGCCTGTCCTGGTGGACGCCGGGGGCCACCCCGCCCTCCCTGGAGCCGACCTTTGTCTTGGGAAAGAGTCCATCAGTCAGTCAAGAGCTGAGGACGGGGTCCAGGAGACCAGAGAAGGACGGAGGTGGGTGGGGACTGTCACAGTGAGGAGGCAGCCCCAGGAAGTGGGAGAGGGAGGCACAGGTGCCGAGGCCCTGAGGCTGGGAAGAGCGTGGCCTGTCACAGGGACCCGCGTGGCCTGTGGGGACGGGCGGGTGGTGCAGGGGTCGAGGCCGCAGGCGGAGCCTCGGGCTGCCTCAGCCATCCAGAACGTCCCTCGATGTGTCTCCCAGGTGAGGTTTGTTTCCCTCTTGATGTGCCACCCAGAGCCGTCACCGAGGTCTGTGTCACCTGCCCCTGTGGTGTGGTGTTGGTGTTTGGCTTTGCTCGGGTGAGCAGACCTGGAGGAGTGGCACCAGCCTGCAGACCAAGCTGGCAGGAGGCCGCGGTGGGCACACCTCTCCCTGGGGGACGCGGACACCCTGAGGCCTGGTAGGAGGGGACACTGCGCTCTCCTCAGCCTTGTCCCCGGGGACTCGCTGTCGCAGGGTGGGATCCCAGTGCTGCGGGACCCTGGGCAGTTGGCGCCGCCCTCCTCCTGCAGGTGGGAGGGAGGCCCGGGTTCTGGGCGCGGGCGGAGCTCCTGCGCTGGGTGCTGCAGGCCGGGAACGGTTCCAGGGGTTTGCGGAGCCTGGGGCTGTGGCTTGGGGGACCCCTGCTCACTCTGCCAGCCGCGCAGCCCTCAGACCTGCCCTGCGCACTTTATGTGTTTAATTTATCTCTTTGTTTATTGGTACCAGGGATTGAACCCAGAGGTGCTTTACCACTAGCCACACCCCAGCCCTTTTTTTGTATTTTATTTGGGGACAGGGTCTCCCTGAGTTGCTTAGGGCTCGCTCAATTCCTGAGGCTGGCTTTGAACTCGTAATCCTCCTCCCCCGGCCTCCCGAGCCGCTGGGATCATAGGCATGGGCCACTGCGCCTGGCAACGTCCTGACCTCCGCGCTGCCTGAGCTTGGAGCCTCCACGTTCTGATCTGTCACATGGGGGTTGTGATGGCACCTGCCTTGGGCTTGGGGGAATAGATGCGATGTCCCTGGGGAGCGTCATCAGCACGCTGCAGCTCCTGGCTGTGGTGGTAACTGCTAGGACTTGGCCGCGGGGTGGACGTGCTCCGGGCAGTGGCAGCCGCAGTGGTGCCCCGAGAGCGTGGGGGGCTGGGGGACTCTAGAGACTGGGCGGGCCCAGGGCTGGGCTTGACCTGGGGAATGAGGTTCGGTTTCGGGGCTCGGTGGGGGGGTCCTTCCCTGCACACGTGGAGGGAACTGCAGGAGAAGCGAGAGTACCTTGAACTGTCCCCAGAAAATGCTGTGACAGCAGCCGGGCTGCCCTCTGACGCTGTCCCCTTCTCCCCTAGGGCTCCTGCGGGAAGAAGTGTCCCGGCTCCAGGAGGAAGTCCACCTTCTCCGGCAGATGAAGGAGATGCTGGCCAAGGACCTGGAGGAGTCGCAGGGTGGCAAGTCCCCCGAGGTCCTCTCGGCCACCGAGCTCCGGGTCCAGCTGGCCCAGAAGGAACAGGAACTGGCCAGAGCCAAAGAGGCCCTGCAGGGTGAGTCACACGCCCGGGCTGCGACTGCCCAGACCCGCTCCGGCCCTTCCTGGGGTGGGATCCCGTGTCTTGCAGGGTTGGGTGTGGCCCTCGTTCCCTCCTGCAGGGTGACCACCACACACTGTCCATCGTGGCTGGCCGGGGGCACCTCTCTGTGGGGCACGAATCACAGGTGGGCGTCTTTGGTGGCCCAGCCTGCGGACCCAGCAGCAGGTCTCTCTCCCAGCCCTCGGGGGCTGCAGGGCCCACCCTGACAGGACAGAGTGGCCGGGCTGGTTTCTCTGCTGCGGAAGTGTCTGTGTCCCCTGCGTCACTCTGGCTCACAGCGGCGGGCTCTCTAGGAGGGGCTCGGGCCTCTCCTCCCATTTCCTGCCAAGAACAGCAGCGTGCAGCCCGGGCCCGGGGAGGAGCCGGCAGGTGGCCAGGTGCAGGTGTCCAGGTGGCCTCTTCATCAGATGCCCACGGAACCCCGGCACCATGGGGCAGAGATCTGCTCTACACAGGAGGGAGCCAGGGCGCTATGCACCCGCCGGGTTCCTTGGAGCTGGTTGGGGACCCGGCGGCACTTGGAGACCTGGGGCCTGAGACGTGGGCGGGGAGCAACCTTCGGGGTCTGCCTGGTTCTCTTAAGCCCCTGAGTGTCTCTGCTCCTCCCGGGATGCGCGTGGGGCGCCACGCTTGCTTTCTAGGGAGCCCGGGGAGTTGACATCCAGGGGAGCCCACCCCCGAGTGTCCAGCGCTCTCGACTGAATTCTTTCCGGTGTCCACGCTCCTCCCAGCAGCAGACGAACCGCCCTCTTGCGCTGGGAGTGTGTGTGTGTCTGCTGGGGTCCCAGGGCCGTGGGGTGGCAGTGGTATGACTGTGGCCCAGCCTGTGTGGGTCAGGGTCAGGGTTGGGAACGCATCTGGCCAGGTGCACACGCCTGCTCATGTGCAGCCGCCCAGCAGGCCCGACGGGTGGCCTGGCCACCAGCATCTCCTCTTGTGCCTTCCCTGGATGGAACCCCAGGTCCCAGGAGTGTCCAGTGCATGTGTCCCTGGGCCCAGGCTGTGCAAGGTGAAGTCCTTGGTCATTCTGAGTGTGACGGTCCTGCAGAGACTCGGGGCTGTGCAGCAAGCTACCCCACAGCCACCGTCCCCAGACTATTCTGGGGACAGCAGAGCCTGCCTTCCTGGTCCTTGGCCAGGGTCAGAATTCCCACCATATTTGCTCACGGGGACCTGGGAGGAGGAGGTCCCAGGGGAGTCGGCCCAGGCTCCTGTACCCACCCCTCCCAGCCTCTCCGCTGTGTCCAGGCCCGAGCGTGGGCAGCAACGGCTTCGCGCGGGGAGGGATGGGAGCTAAAGGAGGCTCTGTAAAGGGGGGATCATCACTCTCCTCCCTGTCACCCACAGGGAGCGGCTTTGCACATTTGACCTATCTGCTGGGTGCCTGGACCCACAGCCATGGCCAACTGTGTTGTCACCTGCTACCCGTACGTGCCTACAGTGCTGCACATAGTAGGTGCGGTACGAGACGGACCGGAACACGATGAAACAGAGCAGCCATGGCAACATACTGCATCAAGGTTACTTAAAACCTAGGAATTGTCTACTCCTAGAGTTTTCTGCATAGTATCCTCAGACCGTGGTTGACCACAGGCTACTGAAGCCATGGATGCAAAGCTGTGGCGGAGCAGGGCCTGCCGGGCACGTGTTCCCCTCCAGCTCTGGGCTGAAGGTTTCCTGTCCGTCCCCTGCTGATTCCTGGGCAGCTCCTCTGTAGGAGGAATAGCGTGGGCGACAAGGACTTGTCGGGAGCACTCTGTGCCATCGCTGTCCTAAGGGCCTAGTCGGCCACCACCCCAGTCCCGCTGGGGGCTTTGACCCTCCACTTCTGACATCTGAATGAGGTTCAGGGAGGTTGGGTAACTTGGCCAAGGTCACACAGCTCCTCAGCAGCGGGGACAGAGACGTTCTGCAGGGTCCCAGCCCACTTCATCTTGCCTCTGTGTGCGGTCCCCTGAGACGAAGCTGGTCTGGTGTAGAACACAGGCTGTCTGGCTCAGCCGTGGGGATGGCAGGTGAGCGAGAGTGGCACACGGGACACAGAGGCTCCTGCAGCAGAGAAACCGGCCCCACCCGGGCTGGACCCCAGCTGGACCTCTCACTCGCGGCGTGATCTCATGTAGATTCCTCAGCTTCTCTGAGCCAGGCCTTTGCTGAGGATGATAACTGTGCTTACCACCGGAGCTAATGAGAGTGCTGCTCCCCAGGTCGTGAGGATTAAATGAGATAGGAGGCGCTTGGCTCAGCGCCTGGCACCATTACTAGGGACCATTGTGCATGCTTAGTGATGATCAGGGGCAGGGGCTTGGCAGACCTCCCTGGATCTGCTGGGCGCTGTTGGCTGCCTAATTGGCATCGGGGGTAGCCTAGACCTGAGAGTCCCTGGTGCCCCTCCAAGCTCAGGATGGCAGTGTTCTGCAAGGCCTGGGAGTGGGCACCTCAGGCCACCTGGAGCACCCTGCCGGGAACTCCCCAGTCGTAAGGAAGAGGCTTCCTCCCCAGCCGCGGCACGCGGTGCGTAAATTGCGGACAGATGTGGGCAGGAGGACGGATTTCTGTGCTGGAATGAGGAGAAGGAGAACAGGGGCCCAAGCAAAGCCGGCAGCAGATGTTGGGGTGACGCCTGCTTACAGCCACTGTCCCTGCCCCCATACCCCAGCCTCGTGGTGTGGACGAAACCTGCACTTTAGGATTAGGGGCTCAAGCCAACCCCGGAACGGCAGCGTCGAAGCAATGAAGGGAAGGGAGTGGGGAGACCCCCTCGGCCTCCCTGGGGGTGAGTCTGGGGTGTCTAGTTCAGGAGCTTGGTCCCCCAATGAGCCCAGAGCAGAAGCCCTGAGTGACGAACAGGAACAACGTGGTCACATGTGCCGTCGACCCCGAGTCCCCGCACGACCCCGTTTCACACATGCGCTGAGCTCGCACCCGGGGAGCCCCGGGGTGTGGTGATGTCTCCCGGCTCCTCCGTTTCATGATTTCCGTGTAAATCAAGGCATCACGGAAATCATGGTAATGAAAATTCGCTTCTTTCATTTTGTAGTCTCTTAACAGCATGTTGAATGTGTGGAGCGATTTCCCACAACAATAAATACTCTTTGAAAACATAATTTTTAATGACTACATAATGTTCTCCCAAATGGAGGTACCGTAATTTATTTCACCATTTTCCTGTTATTGGACATTTAAGTCATTTCCACTCTCCTCTCTCTGCCATTATATAACATGTTACGCAACACGCCAAGAAAGGTCATGCGCGGGGATCCTTTTCCTTTCTCCCCGTACCCCCCCCCCCAGGACAGCATTTCTCAAACTTTCTGACCCAAGGAGCACGTGACATTGTCACAGCATCGAGGATCCCACAGAGCTTTTGTTTCTGTGTCTGAAACTTCTATTTACCATTCTAAAAATTCAGACGGGAAAAATGTGTAAATATTCAACAATTTCTCTTAAAACAATAATAAACCCATTATCTGTTGGCATAACTAAGATTATTTTGTAATGAGAAGCAATTACATTTTCCCAATCATGAGCAGGGGAGTGGTCTTCCACGTTTTAGGCAAAGCCCTTGGTGTCTGGCTTCCTGGTGGCTGTCCCCAGCCGCGTCCCCCCACCCTAGTCTATTGCAGTTGTTGTTTTGGTTGAAAACCTGACATCACACAGATCTGTGGTGGAGCACAGGAGTAAGTTAGTTGCCTTATTACATAACTGTGGACACCCCCCGATGCCATACTAAACTCACTGAGTGAGAGGTTATTGAAGGCTTGTTGCCCTGTGGAATCCCAAACCTTTTTTAATTGTTGTTGTTGTTACTGGGGATTGAACTCAGGGGCACTTGACCACCAAGCCCCATCCCCAGCCCTATTTTGTATTTTATTTAGAGACAGGGTCTCACTGAGTTGCTTAGCACCTCACTTTTGCTGAGGCTGGCTTTAAACTCACCATCCTCCTGCCTCAGCCTCCGGAGTCACAGTACAATTGTTACACAATTACAGGTGTGTGCCACTGTGCCCCGCCCAAACGACATCCACTTACACAGGGCTGCACTGATGTCGTGGGGACCAGTTTTGCTCTTCAAATGGATATTTTAACCCCATGTAATTTCTTTTCCCTCTCTCTCCCTCTCTCCCTGTCTCTCTCTGCAGTAATGGGAATTAAACCCAGGGTCCTTGCACATACAGGCGCTCTACCACTGAGCCACGTCTCCAACCCTTTTTATTTTCTATTTTTAGATAGTATCTCACTAAGTTGCCCTGGCTGGCCTCAAACTTGCAATTCTCCTGCCTCAGTCTCCTGATCACAGGCATGGGCCACAGTGCCCAACCTCAAACATGATTTTTTAAAACATCATACATCAATCACGTGGAACATTTGGGATCTCTGAGTTGTGCAGATCTTCCAGGGTTGATGTATTTCGTTATCCCGTATGAAAAGCGCATGTGTTAACATCACCACCGGCCCCACCAGAAAGTCTCTAAGAATTGAGAAGCTGTTAAAGTCGTGGTGGCAGATCAAGTGTGCCAGAATTCTGGGGTTTTTTGCTCATCTGCCTAAGGTTTAACCTTGAAGACAAACACTGTCAGTTGTGTTCCTAGAGGCAACGGTTCATCTTAGTTCATTTATGAGTCTAGTTCTGTCCTTTGCCAGATGCCACGGCTTAAGGCGTTTCATTCTTTCAAGCACAAATGGAAGAGTGGCTAGTTTAGCTTGCAACTTAAACAGACACACAGATGTTTTTCAAGCCACCCACTGTTCCTTGGCATACAGCAAAGAACCAAACATGTGTATGCCATTTGATTAAAAGGCATGTAGTTGGGCGATCAACCTTTAACAAAAATGTTAATTTTTACTACTTTGTCAGTGACATCGTCTGTGCGCGCACACATGCTGCAATGGAACCCGGGGCCTCATTCTTGCTAGACATGCACTGAGCCATATCCCCAGCCCCAAGAAAG